TTGGTCAACAACCTCAGCTCTTATGGAGCCGATGTCTTCTCTATGTGCAGCGGACTCACCACCTACATGGCTTACGAAGTTCACGGTGAGTGCAAGCAAGGCAATTCTGAGTGCTACTGACCAGGCACATTTTTTTCTCGAGGAATGACCAAGGCACAACTGCTACTCTTCTGTTTTGAGAAGCGCAGAAACCAAGGCCTTCAGCAGGTGCACAAAGGGTTCCACGTCTCCATAGCTCAGGACTGGAACAGGGAGGTGCCACAGCTGCCATATCTGACCCGAACCAAAGCCTTACAGCACCACCCAGGGAATCTTAAGGTGGCTTTAGTTTTGGCCATGAGTGTTTCGACCCATACTGAACTCCTGTGCAATGGCCAGGAAAAGACAAACTGCCGTGCTAGGAACCACTGTCCTTCAGCTCAGAGCTTGCTGCCGAGTTGACCGAGGCAGCTACCAAACCTTCGTGCTTCACAAAACTAAGCCTAACAGCTTTCTCCTGGGCGGGTTTTCCCAGGGGGAATGATCAAGTTTTGGAGATGTTTAATGACCTGCACCTCCTAGGATTCTTCCGGAATGCCCCAGCCCACGTGAGTGGGCCCATGAACTGGCACCAGCCTGAGTTTGTAATGCCCAGGCACAGGACCTCACGGGAGCGTGTGCAATAGAGCCGTGATTTCTGCACGGGAAGTCACAGGGGCTGTTTGAGAGCACATCTTTGTGGGGCATTCCGTGCTGAGCCACAGAGCCGCTGCTGTTTGGGGACTCCAAGAGGATGTGCCCCTCGTACCATTGCTCAAGCATTGCTAGTGCAGCCATTCTTCCAAAGCTGGCTCGCTCTGAGCAACACCACCACGCTCGTGGAGAAGGGCAGCCAAGGCCTTAGGCATTAGCTCATGGGCTTTTGTTTGTTCCTTTCTTGCTTCCCAAGGACCCCAGGTGAATCTGGGATCATGCGTTACCCTCGATGTCCTGAGAGTTGTGGATCTGAGATACTGCAGTGGCAATGACCAGGTGAGAAAACCTTAGCCCTTACCATTTTTGAAGCAAGTGTTGGGGTTCCAGAGCTGCTGCCCAAAGCCAACCCTGCTGCCCTCCTTGCCTGGCATGTCCTCTTTCAAGAGGATGGGTGAGCAGAAGTTTGTGTCCGAGATCTTGAGGGTGGATTGACTGTGGCCAGTCCTGTTGCACACGTCAACCTCTAAAGGCACCGGATGACAGCTGTCAGATCCAGCAATGGCTGATTGAATCCCTGGAAAAAATTTTTGGGGCTCTGCCCAAGGGCACAGCCTTGATTTGGGGTTCTTCTGCAAAGAGGGAGGGCAGTGCTGGCACTTCTCAGGGGCAGCACTTCTACTACTCTAGCAGGGAYTTTTCRGAAGCTTTGGGGCATCACTGACTCCCTTGAGAGGTGAAACGTCTTCTTTCCCTTGCTTTTTAGTCTCAGCAGACGGATCACAATTGCCACATGTCTGGTGGTTGTGTGTTTCAAAATCTGACTCTAAGTAGTCAAACACGTGTCGTGGTTATTGAGCAAAGGAGCAACCATTTGTCATGGAAAACCATCTGGAACTACAATAAGGTGAGTTGCCAGTAGCATACTTGTTGACAAAGTGTGTGAGGAGACCGTCTCCTTGTGTAACTGAGACCAGGATTTGGTTGGTTTCTTCATTCTGACCAGCCTTTGCCCACAATTTGGGGTCGAATCTGTTTGCCTTTGTTTCTTTTTTTATCCCAATTTTATCCCATCCTTTTAGGTTCAAAGGCAAACTGTACGCGTTCCATAACTTTATTTTACAGGGTATCATTGCAACCAAAGTGGTGCAAGAGGGCACTTGCTATATTTCTTCCATGAACAAAAATGTTMTGCCCAGCTTTGAAAATCTGGTCCACCTGGCTTCAGAGAACGGGGTAAGAATCAAAATCTGCAGTTGCTTCAGATAGTGTACTCTCTTTGATATTCCTTTTTCATCTGGAACAGTGCTATTTTCAAGACCTTCTAACCCAATTGGTTAAGTTAAAGCCTTTTTAGTGGTTATTTTCGTTGTTATTTTCATTGAAGTTTTCAGGTGCATAATTTTAAATTTTTTTTAAATTTATTTGTTTGCCTTTAGTGTAGATCCGTTATGTTGAGTTAAAGTCCCAGATAGGTTAGATYATATTTTACAATGCTTTTTATTATTATATAATTTAGTCTTTTTACACTGTTTTAGTATCTCACATTTTAGATTTTTCACTCAGTACGTTTCATAATCTCTCATTTCACAAAGTCTCAAATAATATTTTTTTTCAGAATACTCAATAAGAGAAAAAATTCTTGTTATAGAAAAAAAGGAAGTTTGCAAACTTTTTGAACAGAACTACGCACCATATTTCTTTAGTTCGGCCCACCGAATAAGCACAGACATTATAAAAATTATTCCAGCACTCAGCATATATACCTTGGTC